CATGAATATGCATTTGGGGGTCTTCATCCTACTCTCACTGACAACTTTATGTGTATAAAAGTAAAGCTGTATTAAAGGTAAAATGCAATCATATTTTAATACACTTTTTCTTTAAAAAAAGGAAGGAAAATATATATTGTAAATGGAATTTATGCCAAGTTTGGAACTGAAATGTGCAGTCATTAATAATCTACTGTAGTGAAAACTGAACTAAGCATATCATTAAAAAGGTTGTTACACAAGATGCCTTTAAGAAGCCGGCTTACTGCATTAGCAGCACTCTGCATTGTATACCTTTAAGTTATCCTTTAAAAAAAAATCTCAAGTAACATCCTGAAAAACTTACATTGACTATGTAATATATTTTAATGTAAAGCCTCTTATAGATTTCCTTATTAATCTCCAAAATTTGAGCAACTCTCAATAGGAAATAAAAACCAGAAATAAAATAGCCCAGCGGCCTTTGTGGTATAAATAATTACGTATACAATACTGGTATAGAATAATGCTTACCTTTGCTTCACTAAGTAAATCATGGAAGGAAAAACTGGATTCAAGACATCATAAAACAAAAAGATGGAAAATATCTTTTCATTGCCAAAAATCAAATTATCATCTTAATTGTAGCTAGTTTATTTCTTTAGCTTCATATGTACATGGGAGAGACAAAGATACAGTATAATCCATTATGGAAACAAATATTCCTTATAAGAAAATCAAAATTTATACTATACAAATATGATTCCTTTAAATGAAAAGTATGTATATATGTGTGTGTGTGTGTATATACACACACACACAAACATATGTATATATAAACATATGTATACACACACACACACACACACACACACACACACACACACAATCTGCCAAATCCTTCAATAATTCTTTTTCACAGCCTACGGATAGAAGTATACTCCTTCTAACTCTGTATATCAACAGAGACAACTTCCTTCTATTCTTGTGAGACTTCATGCTATAATACACAGAGCAGGTGGCATGCGATTTGCTGTTTTCTATTTGAAATCCAAATGAACCTTTAACCATATAAGGTTTAGTACACAAAGATAGTCTAATGAATAATATAATCATCAATGCTGTGAAAAACAGACAAGTCTTCAGAGTGGGTTCAATGGGCTTTTATTTGTAATTGGGCAAATGCAACATATTTAGAACCGATTTTGATCAAACTGCTTCTTCCCTTTCTCATTTCTGAAACAACATTTGCCTCTTGGTTGACATGTTCAACCTAAGTCACTTTAGGCCAGCCCAGCTGGAAAGGCAGCAAGGCACATTTGCAGTTTCCGCCTAAACTCTGGAAGTGGGGAAAGAGTCAGCTTCCACTTCATGACAGGGAAGAGATAATTAATATTGAAAGTCAATGTGGTTAAAAAAAAAAAAAAAAAAGAAATGAAACACTGCTGGGCAACATGGAAAAAAAAAAGTACCTTGGTAACATTATAGTGAATCAGAAATAAATAGAATTGCACTCTAGTAAAGTATATGTCAGGAAAGCAGGGTTTCTCACAAGACTAGACAAAAATAGGCTGAAAAAAGGATTTGAGTCTGATGGTGGTGGTATTTAAACAGTGACATGGCAGTATTGGTTCTTGTTTTTGTTTTTAATGTCTTAAGTTGTTGAGGCATTAGGTATAGAAGATAATTCAACCTGGAGAAAGAGGCATTTAACAAATAGCCTTTAAAACATGTTGACATCCATCAGAGAGAGGTTTTCCTTTACTACTAAAAAATCCCTTATGGCACAAATGTGTATATTTATCACAGTAGCATTAGTTTCTGTGAAAAAAAATAGCTACAACCTAACTATCCAATGAAACAATGATTAAGTAAATTATGTCAACCTGAAAAAATGAGGAGTTACTAGCAGAGTGAAGGTATGAGCACTGACTGATCAGCATAGATGTAGGTCATAATGCCAAGTGTTAGTAACATTTGCATACTGGCAGAGGCTAGGGGGTGCAGTGTGTATTTGTAGATGTGGAGGCATCTGGGGGCAGACAATTACTTTTTGGCAACTGGTGTGGAAGGTGTCAAATTCATTTTAACTGGTATGGCAATGCCAGTAACTAACAGCATCAAGTTTCTCCTCCATGCCAGGCACTGCAGAGCATACCTCACAACAGCTCTGAGGTAGGCATTATTACTGTCCTTTTACAGATGACAAAAGACTTAGGAGGTTAAATGACTTTCCCAAGTTCATTCTGTTTGCAATGACAGTGCTGCAATTCAATCCTAAGCCTACTTGGCAACAAAGCTTGGCAACATTTTGCTATTCCACACTGCTTCCCAATACTCTACAACTATATCATACAGCATTAAAGGAGAAGGTCAGGATAATAAACTGCAAATAAATTAAGATTATACTTGGCTGTACGGTGAACTTATTTCTTTCCTTTAAAATTTTCAAACGTCCTATATGATTATACTGCTTTTATAATGAAACACAGGTTGGTAAGAAAACTATCATGAGAAGAGATTTTATTTTTTTGAGAAAGGATATCGCTCTGTCACCCAGACTGGAGTGCAGTGATGTGATCATAGCTACTGCAGCCTCAACCTCCCAGGCCCAAGAGATGCTCCTACCTCAACTTCCCATGTAGCTGGGACCACAGGTGTGTGACACCTTGCCCAGCTACTTTTGTGAGGAGAGATTTTATAATAGCAAAGATTCTTAAATACTGGAAAGAGTTACTGAAGTAAAGTTACACATTTTAAATGCATTTTTCTCTTCCCCAGTAGGATGCTTTTCATCTGTCTAAAATGTAAAATGGTTCAACTACTGTTCTGATTGAATAAACAAAGTCACCTATTTTTTTTCCCCCTGAGATGGAATCTTGCTCTGTTGCCCAGGCTGGAGTGCAGTGGTGCAATCTTGGCTCACTGCAACCTCTGTCTCCCGGGTTCAAGCAATTCTCCTGCCTCAGCCTCTTGAGCAGCTGGGATTACAGGCATGTGCCAACATGCCTGGCTATTTTTTTGTGTGTACTTTTAGTAGAGACAGGGTTTTACCATGTTGGCCAGGCTGGCCTCGAACTCCTGACCTTGTGATGTGCCCATCTCAGCCTCCCAAAGTACTAGGATTACAGGTGTGAGCCACCATGCCCAACCCTAACTCATCTATTATAGCTCTTTCTAGCACCAAGATACTACAATATAGTCAATCCTATATCGAAAAAATTTTTTTTAATTATTCATCTAAAAATTATAGAGAAGCCAAGGCATTCATTCATTTATTCAATTATTGTTTACTGTCTACCTACAATATGTCAGGCATGTGGCTAGATTCTGGAGAACTCAAAGTTAGTCAAGAACTTTGACTTCGTGGACTTTACACTGTAGTTCTAAGATGGCAATTCCTTCTTGGCCTAAAGGTACCTACTGCCTCTCCGGGGCCACATCAATGTACTGAAGGGTAGAGAGCTCTGGCTCCATGCCCAGGAGACACAGTCAAAGTTCATACCTCTTAGGGAAGAAAGGTTAGGCTAATCCATTTCAGAGCTTGAACGTGGGTTCACTCCTGCTTGAGCCAAGAACAACAGTCAAATAAAGAACCCTGAGAAAGTACCATGACTCCCGGGAGATACCCTGAACCTGGGGTAGTTTCTATACCATCTGCTGGGATGTCATTATTTCTTTAGGTCCCTAGGTGGAAATGAGATAGACATAAACGATTGAAAAGACACAATCACTCAGCAATCTCCAGGAGTTGGCTGTCTTGAATCTTACTGTTAAGGAAAGGAACGTACTTTTTAACCAAGTCATACCTTTGAGAAGACAACTCTAAAACTTTGTCAATGTCACAGCATACGTTATGGTTCCAGAACACCATGTTACCATCATCATCACCAGTGTGAACACTACAAAGCATTTTGGTAGGTCTGACCTCAGAGCTAAAAATAATCTGCTTAGGCCTCAAAATGCTATATAAATAATATTTGCTGGGAAAGTACAATGAAGATTTTCATTTCAGAAATATAAAAAACCATTCTGTGCTCATACTAAATAGAAAGACTTTTTAAACTCCATACTACCTTCCCACAAATAAATATCCATTTAAATGGACATAAACACACAGCCCTATAGACTCTTTCTTCATCTTTCTTTATTGTTTTTTCTGAGCCTCCCTCCCCACCCCCTTCCATCTTCCTTTATTGTTCTGCCCTCAGTCAGGTCGAAACAACCTCCTTGGAACCAGGTCCCTTTTCATATTTCTTTCAGTTGCTAATTAGATGTTAAGGCCAGGCACAGCGGCTCATACCTGTAATCCTAGCACTTTGGGAGGCTGAGGTGGGCAGACCACTTGAGCCCAGTAGCTCAGTGCTAACCTGGGCAACATGGTGAAACCCTGTCTATACAAAATACAAAAATTAGCCAGGCATGGAGGCGCATGCCTGTAACCCCAGCCACTGGGGAGGCTGAGGTGGGAGGACGGCTTGAGCCTGGGAGGGAGAGGCTGCAATGACTGTGTTTGCACCACAGCTCTCCAGTCTGGGGAAAGGGCCCGGACCTGTCTCAAAAAAAAAAAAACAAAGTGCATGTTAAAAAGTGTTCTCAGGGCCAGGTGTTGTGGCTCATGCCTGTAATCCCAGCACTTTTGGAGGCGGAGGCAGGTGGATCACTCAAGCCCAGGAGCTTGGTACAAGCCTGAGCAACATTGGGAAACACCATCCTTACAAAAAATTAGGTGGGTGTGGTAGCATGTGCCTGCAGTTCCAGCTGCTTGGGAGGCTGAGGTGGGAGAATGGCTTGAGCCCGGGAGGTCGAGGTTGCAGTGAGCCACTGTACTCCAGCCTGGGTGACAGAGTGAGACCTTGTCTCAAAAAACAACAAAAAAAATTGTGCTGAGTGGACAGTCTGGTGAAAACTTACGATGGCTAGATCTTTTAAATCAACTGTTACACGCCACCATGTCTAGAGAATCTACATTCTTAATATGTTACTTAGTCAAATGTCCCAATGCGTGTTATTGATCTCACCTTCGATATAGCTTGGACTGTCCAAAAGTCATAATTACCAGTGGTACATGGAAGGTAGTCAAGACTAGAATGACCTGGAGAGAGAAAAAAGCATTCTGTAAATAAAAAAGATATTCCAATTAAGTGCTGATACGTGTTCAAAATTAGGCCAACACCTAAAAGACTTTTGATATCCCTACTTTGTAGTATTCCCCAAAACCTAGAAGGATCTAGTTACTAGGGCTGGGAATGACGAAAAAGTCCTCAGCTCATTTTGTTGGTATGCTCCCCATCGCCTACAGTGAAGCAATAAGGCAGACTACTCAAATACACATTCAGATAAAAGAAGGCTTTAACTATTTTGTATCCATATTATTGAAAGATATTCTCAGGCAAGAACCCTCTCCCTTTTCTCCTTACAGAGGCTAGAATGGCATGAATGTTCTCATAGAGGTCACTGTGTCTGTCTTTTTCTTCACCTTGCTGTTAGTTCTTCATGAAATTAATTTTTTCAGTACTTTATCTACCAAAAACTGCATGAGGAAATGATTCTGGATGTATTACTACAAGAGTCTAGGGAGTCACAGAAAGCCATATGAGAAATCTTGGAGATGTCAGGGCACGGTGGTGCACACCTGTGATCCCATCACTTTGGGAGGCCAAGGTGGACGGATCACCTGAGGTCAGGAGTTTGAGACCAGTCTGGCCAACATGGTGAAACCTCGTCTCTACTAAAAATACAAAAAATTAGCCAGGCATGGTGGCGGGTGCCTGTAATCCCAGCTACTTGGGAGGCCAAGGCAGGAGAATCGCTTGAACCCGGGAGGTGGAGGTTGCAGTGAGATCATGCCATTGCGCTCCAGTCTGGGCAACAAGAGCAAAACTCCATCTCAAAAAAAAAAGAGAAGACATTCCCAATTCTAAAGCAAAACCAACACAACTACAACTTACTGAAAGTCTGTCTTGCAAACATGCATTTTCTGTGATTTAAGCTAGACAGTTTCAAGAAGAAATGATATTAGGTGCTTAAACCCCCCAAATCTATATCATCTTCTTGTTAGGCTGAAATAATAGACTCAAAATATGACTTACCCCAGTGCTATCTCCAACCCAGGACAAGGATACTGAGCCTCTGAGATCATCAAACACATGCTATAAGGGGGGAAAAATTCATTTAGAAATCATATCTATTCTCCTTCAATCTTTGGCTTCTTTAAATATTTGAACTTTATTCAGAGTAACTAAGTTCATAATTATAAAGGGGATATGGATTCCCAGTACAAAATTTGGGAGAGATGGAATTTAACTACTTAATGTGAATCACAAATAACTTGGAAATTTAAATTCTCTCTCACACAAAGTAAGCCAAGCAGATGAGTTTTCTTTACTGCACCAGATGGGGAGATGGGATAATCTAATTGCTTTCTCCAACAGAACTAAATATAAAGTTATAGCAAAGTATTTTTAGGATGCTTTAAAACAAGAGATCACGGCCCACACTGACAGGCACAATTGTAACCAAATCAGCATAATTTAAATTGTTCTGGGCATCCTTTACAGTATAGTTGAATAGTTTATAGCTGGATTCCTTTTACTTCTAGGCTAGCTCACTCAGAATGACAAGAAGCAGAAGCAGCAAATGCCTTTGTTTTACCTTTTAAATTTAATAACAACAGTAATAATGACAATAATAAAACAGCCTTACTAGAGTTGCAGTGAGAGTAACGAGGTAAAAAAGGAAAAGCTGGTCTATTATATCCAAAATATAGTAAGCATGTTAAAATATAGTTATAATAACCATTGTAGGTGGTTTTGGGTTTTGTTTTTCAACTACTTCCTTTTTCTACTTACACAATTATATATATCCATTAAAGAAGATGTAGACAATTATAACAAGATATAACAGATAAAATATGAGTCATTCATAATCCTACTACATAAAGATATTCAGGTTAACATTATGTGTACTAATACAACCTCCTGTTCTCTATCATTTTTGTAACTGATAAAAAAATAAAAATTCCAAAGAGGCAATACTGCACTTGGAAAATTCAAACTACACAGAAATTATATACCATATAGTCTGTGTAGCAAAAAGTGAAGATACTTCTCTTTTCAGGCCACATGTTCACCACCTAAGCCCCATTTCTTAGACAGTTTAATAGTTCAGTACATATTTCTACTAAATGTTGATGATTATGTTTTTTTCTTAAGACTTATAATCTTATCAAGATTTAAAAATCTTAAATATGCTTTGCTCTCCCAGATATGAAAAGCTCCTTAGAAGCTGGGAAATGTAACTTTATACTTCTTGGTACTTCCTGTGCCTACCACGGGGATACTTTGCATACTCAATAAGCATTTGTTGAAAATGATTACACATCCTTCCCAAACCACAAACTCAACCTCAAAATAGAACATGTCTATAAATGGTTGGGATGCCAGCTACTTGGTCACTCAAGCCACCAATCCCAACATAGGAATCAAAGAAATAGAACTCAAAACATGAACTGTTTTGCTTATCTTTAAATTTTCTCTTATAGTCCTCCTGAATGGGCCTCTGAATTCACCTATGTGATTTTCCCTCTGGACCGTAAGTACCTTTGATGTCAAAAGAATCTCTTATACAATTTCTGTAAGTTAGTTCAATCAAGGCTTCATGCAGGTCTTGCTCTTGAAATAATGGTTAACTCTCAAATGCTCAGCAGAGCTTCTTACAGCCTCTGGAGGACAGAAGGGCTATTCAGACATACAGGCTTGACAGGCAACTGAGAAAAAGTTGGACTGCTACAGCTTCTGAAATCGGAAGCTTAAACACTGACACAGCAGTGTGTCTTATAAGACATTTCACACAGAGCAAGACCACAAGTTCTCTTGAGTGAGGACAGAGTGTCTGAAATGACATCAATGAGATCTTCAGGAAAAACAGGAACGTTTAGAGCTACCACAAGACCAGGCAGATCATGTAAGGCTAACAGTCATCTCAACATAGGTTATCTTTCCAAGGAAGGTCCTCATCATAACTAAGAGAAAAGTTATGTCCATCAACTGTGGCAGTGGACTTTATGGTTTTATTCATCAGGCTGTAAGATATCACTCTTGAGCCAATCAGGACTGAAACTTTTACTTTTCAGGCAATGCTCTACGCAGCTGACCCAGTCAATGCAGACTGGCATTACCCACGTTTTCCTATTAGTCAACCACAGAATGAGGAGGATTATCACGTGTCACTGGCAACTCTCAGCTTCACTGAAACAACTGAAATGGTAATGGACCTCATTCATCATCCAAAGAAATGTTGGCCAGATTTACTAGCTAAAACTGTGGTTTTCTAATACCCTTAAGCTTTCCTCCCACCGCTCCAATTAACCAATGAAGATTTGCTTTTGAAAATGTGCACACTCATTGAAAAACTCATCTACCTATAGCAAATACAACTAATTTTTAAATATTTCAGTCTCTAACATTTTTATACTGGGTGAAAGTTAAAAAAGAAAAATGAAATGAGATGTTACAGCAGGTTAAAAGGTTAAGCAGAAAGAAAATGTCATATGGAAAAAAGATAAATCCAGGAGAGCTAGGGACCAAGAGTACAGATTCAATCCTGCCCCCTCAATGGGAAAAAGAATACGGATGTCCAGGAAAGGGCGGATGACCTGGTCATGAGTAGGAGACAGAATTCACAAGTCAGCACAAAGGCATCAATACTAATCCAGAGTCATTTTTAATATTCAAGACAACATACATGTCATTCTACAACTGCAGTGACAGCTTAGATCTTTCAAAAATATGTATCATAGCACTTTTAAGCATAGCCGCAAGAATGTTGCTTATCCTCCCCACTAGACCTGAGGCCCATCTGGTAAAGGAATCAAGCCTATACATTTCAGCTAACACACAGCACAGTGCATAGTGGGCATGCAATAAATATTTCTTGAAGAACTGCTTATGAAGTTCTGAAAAAGAGGATGACGAAGTAAAAAGATAAGGCCAGACCCGCTTAATTTCCCCATGACAGACAAGAGAATTAAATGTAAAAGTTTATTTCATTTTTTTTTCTTCTTTTTGAGATAAAGTCCCGCTCAGGTGCACAGGCTGGAGTGCAGTGGTGCAATACTGGCTCACTGCAACCTCTGCCTCCCAGGCTCAAGCCATTCTTCTGCCTTAGCCTCCTGAGTAGCTGGGATTACAGGTGCCCGCCACCATGCCCAGCTAATTTTTATATTTTTAGTAGAGACAAGGTTACATGATGTTGGCCAGGATGGTCTCGAACTCTTAACCTCAACTCATCTGCCTGCCTCTGCCTCCCAAAGTGTTGAGATTACAGGCGTGAGCCAACGCGCCCAGCAAAAGTTCATTTCTGAGTGGACTTCTGCTTCTGGTCAAGATGGGGTGACAGGGATCACATTTATCTTCCTACCAGAAACAACTAAAACAAAAAAACAACAACAGAATATATGAAATGACTGTTTCCAAGATACTGGATATCAGGCACAAAGGACAAAATTCCTGAAAGACAGGAACTGAACAAGGAGGGACTCGACCCTACAGTTTCCCTGGCCTACTGCCTGGAGAGAATTTCAGGCACAGTGCAGGGAAGGGGCACACAGGCAGAGCCCAGAGTTCTCCCTAAACTGAAGAGAGGAAGCCGGTAGTCTGGGGAGGCCACAGAGGCCAGAGTTCACAGGGCAAAAGATCAGAGAAGAAAGACTTACACAGAAAAAAAAAAATGCTGGAGACCTGAGGAAGTGGCCTCCCCAGTCACCCTGCCAAGTCTTCAGCTGAAAACCATCATGTGAGGACACTACCTGAGGCCAGGGAAATACTTACCTGAAGGGACGGCAGAGAACAATATTCAGACCTCACACAGGACCAGGAATAATTCCTATTCCTGGAAACCACAATAGAAAACCTTGTATTTCAAGAAAGTTGGGTACAGTACTCAGAAACACTTACGCCTCTGTGGCAAAGAAAAATAACCCCAGACTAAATGTTGTGCTGGTCCTGCCGAAACAAGCTTAAAAGCAAGACCTAAAAGGATCAAACTGTTTCCAAGTAACCAATGTTCCAGAACAAAGTCCAATGATATTTAGAAGAATACAAAAATTGCACCCAACAAGATAAAACTCACAATATCCAACTGAAAAATCACCAGGTGGCTAGGTGCTGTAGCTCATGTCTATAAAGCCAGAGCTTTGGGAGGCAGAGGTGGGAGGATCACTTGAGGTCAGGAATTCTAAGCCAGCTTGGGCAATGTGGCAAGACTCCCATTTCCACAAAAACAATTTTTTAAAAAAATCAGCTAGGTATGGTGGTATACGTTTGCAGCCCTAGCTACTTGGGAGGCTGAGGCAGGAGGATCGCTTGAGCTCAGGAGTTTGAGGCTACAGTGAGCTATGATTACACCACTGCACTCCAGCCTGAGCAACAGAGCAAGATTCTGTCTCTTAAAATAAATTTTTAAAAATCACCAGGCACGCAAGGAAGAAATCAGGACCCACAATGAAAAGAAAAATCAAACTGACTCAGAAATAATAAAGATAAGTAGTAGTTAAGGACATTGAAACGGTTATAACTGTACTCCACATGTTTAAGAAATTAGAGAATAGACTAAGGATGTTAAAGAAAAAAAATTTTTTTAAATACTTAAATCAGGCAGGGCATGGTGGCTCACACCTGTAATTCCAGAGTTTTGGAAGGCCAAGGCTGGCAGATCACTTGAGGTCAGGAGTTTGAGACCAGCCTGACCAACACGGTGAAATCCCATCTCTACTAAAAATAGAAAAATTAGCTGGGTGTGGTGGCGGGCACCTGTAATCCCAGCTATTCAGGAGGCTGAGACAGGAGAATCACTTGAACCCAGGAGGCAGAAGTTGCAGTGAGCCGAGATCGTGCCACTGTACTCCAGCTTGGGCGACAAGAATAAAACTCAATCCCAAAAAAAAAAAAAACAAAAAGACTTAAATCAGACTCGTATAAAGAAGAATTACAATGTCTGAGATGAAAAATACACTAGATAAGGCACTGTGGCTCATGCCTGTAATCCCAGCACTTCGGGAGGCTGAGGCAGGCAGATCACCTGAGGTGAGGCGTTCAAGACCAGCCTGGCCAACATGGTGAAACCCTGTCTCTATTAAAAATACAAAAATTAG